TAGTTGAATAGTTATGTTATTTTAATAACATTATTTTTTACATTTATACTGTATTCTCAATGAATTGTGTATTTTTAAATTTTAAATTACAATATTGTGTTTTTTAATAACTTATTAACTACATTTAACTATTTTAATTATAATTAATATAATAAAATATAATATTATAATTTATAATGAAAATTATATGTTATCGGTTTATCAATGTTATCACATTTTGATAACTGCAAAAAGGGGCTAAATGTAGGCAATATTATATACTGACACAAACAATTTTTTCCTGCGAAGATCCATTCGTATCGAAAACAGCAGTATCTTAATTTCACCAAAGAGGTTCTAAACAAGCCTCTATTATAAACACTAATAATAGTATTCCGCAGAAAAAGAATAGAATTAGAATTCATGTTGGTAACTTGGAATGGCTCTCCTGAAAAATGATAAAATGTAAGTTACTGCCCTTTTCGCCAGAGGTGGCAAATAAGTATTTGGTTAATATACAAGTAAATACAAGTAAAGTATTTCTTGTAGTTTTTTAGACACCTCTGCTCAATTTATGATACTTACTCAATCGACAGCTTAAATGTATCTTCTGTTGGTAGCAAGACAGACTTAGGTATTATTTTTAATACTGATCTTAATTTTTACTAACATGTTGAAATTAAATGTTGCACGATTTAAAAACACTTGTGTTTGGAATATGTGTATCCAAGGAGTTCATTCAATTTATAGTCTTAATTTTTAAAACTGTTTATTTCTCATTTGTCCTTTCCCAATTATAGTATTTATCTGTCCAGTGACACCGTGACTGACTCCTGTTATTATAATTCATAATTGGTTCAGGGACGAATATTATCTTGCGCTTCTTTTATATTTAAAACAAAGTGTCTTCCTCATGACTATTCCATAGTTATGCAGAACATCTCATCTCACTGGCAGGCGGGAGAGTTAACGACAATGTAGAGTTTTTGAAAAAACTAGATTCTGGTCATATTGATGATCTCTCACTTCTTTCGACTGTCAATTTCGAAGTTCTTTCTCGTACTACTAGATAACATGTTCCTTTTGTTGTGCCTGTGCACATTAACAATTGTGGCAGAAATAATCAACTAGACCGCATGACGCTGTTGGCCAATTAAAGCTCCATCTATCAAAACTGATAAAGTTAAAATTAAGTATTATTACTCCTAATAAATGTATAGGTACTATCATTATAGTATTATACTTATAATTATTATTGCAATTATCATCTTATATAAACTTAAGTGTGTTCTTTGTATTTATTATTTAAATTGTAAAGTGTGTTATGTTTTAAATCGGTGTGTAGGGCTTTGCATATAATAAATTTAAAAAAATTTAAAATTAATTCAGTAGCCATCACTAATTATTGTTCCCTTATACATATTTGGTGCCTCAGCTAGAATAAAAGAGGAGAAGCCATTAGCTTGTAGATTGAAAATCTGTGTTTAAGTTAATGGATAACGTTAAAATGTTGAGATCTCCCCTCCATGGAGTGACCAATAATATTATCCACTTCTGTTTGTATCGTCACATCACACTCTGTATGTAATACCTACAACAAATATCATATACTTTTAAAGGTATAGGGAAAAAAAGGAATATTTAATCATACCCGGATTTCGACAAAATCGAATTTGTTTATTTTGAGAAATTCTAAACCTAAGTTACATGCAATTTTCATTTAATGTTTATTTTAGCATTTTCGGTACCAAAAATTGCTTGTATGCCATTTGTAATAAATATTAAAAAATGTTCGACTTTTATTAATTTTTTTTAATTGTTGATGATAAAAATGTTCTTAGTCATAATACTCAATAATATAATATAAGGTTCTTGAAGGCTATCGCTAATAACGAATGTAGGAATAGGAAAATAAAAAGTCAATTTCAAGCTTTAAAATTTTTTTTTACTAGACAATTCGTTGCTTATTCTAGTTTACACGAATATACGTTATATTCAACTTAAATTTCTCTTAATGTTCTAATTTCCTTATCCATAACATTTAATTATATTAATATCTCTATCTACTTTAAGTCATTAGGCATCGGATACATACGGTAACATCGTTATAACTATAATTAATAGTTTTTCTTTTCAAAATACAACCAATAAAAGTAAAATGCACACACAAGAAATTAACGAACGGAAAAAAATTCAATAGTAAAAATAATTTCTTTTTGCCATTTGTCTCTGTGATTTCTTGGTAACAAATTATGATTAATATATTTTTTAAGTATAAAATTAAACATTTTTTACTTATTCACACAATTACAATAGGTTCTATGACTAATAAGTTCTATACACTTATCGTAATAAAATTTGGGATGAGCATGAAAATGTCCAATAGTGTGACGTTGAATATTGTTTATAATTGTTTTTGTCATCTTGTGTGCATTATACTGCACATTTATGAACATTTCAATTATAATACGACTCATTTAATTTTTATCTTAACATTTAATGCATCTAAATATCTTAATGTTGTGTCATGTAATCTAACATTGGTAATATTATATTATAATATGTTAGACTACAATATCATATACAACCCACTCAAACCGCACACATCAAAATTAGAACAAAAACAAAATATTTTTAGAAGTTTCTCACAGAACATTCTCATACTCTCATCCCATGATTATAGTTTTAATATTTTTGGTAACTATGACATTTCCTATCACTTACATAAAATTGTGTCCATGTATCTTACTTTAAAGTACATTTTTAATGTGTATAAATATTTTTTTTAGTACAAAAATCAATATAACACAGCTATATAGATAATCGTCAAAAATAACAGCTTGATACATTATTATATTCATTATTAAACTTTCCATTCCGATAATCACATTTTTTACAAACTATTGTCAGGTCCTATACCATGATTCATTAGCGTTTATCACTTCTGTCCCAGGATATCCGAAATAGAAAAATAAATACTTCTATTTTCCCAACCATATCATTTATCATAAAATATATTGATATTTGTATAATATAATAATCAATCGTTTTTCAAAAGCAACATAAATAATTTGTATAGAAAATAACAATAAATGCGCTTAACATTTTATCATATTATTTTATAATACCGTACGTTCTACAACCAGATCAGCGACCGTACTCGATTTCTAATCTACAAATCTACGATATAGAACATTAACGTACCTACCTATATGGTAGTTACACGTAGGTATACCTATTAGTATGTAATTATGTCTAAATTATATAATATTGTCATATGTTAAACATGTTTTATAGGTACTCTTATAATACTCACGTGATATTATTATAGTTTAATATATATGTTTATAATTTCATATTTATATATTTTTTCAATTATTTGAAAACTAATCACATTTAAAGCTTGAGCTAAAGTAATGTGGTTTTTCACAAATTGTAATACTTATCCCACTAATTTACAAGTGACATAATATTACACAAGCCTATCAAATAGAATTTACTTTTACTTTGATTGATATCAAACTTAAACTGTTTATTATGCTAATTTTATTTATCTAATTGATTATAGTTTGTTAGTTGCTTATCTGAAAATATGATCAGCCAAAAATAATCGAACTCTACTCGATCAAATGGAAATTACATTATTAGGTATTATGCGTCGTTATCATTTTGATAAAATGTGAATTAGTAATTAATTACTCAGGTATTCAATTTAGTATAATAATATCCATCATATCAAATAAATAAATTCCATTTTTTTTTTATTTATTGTACCTATTTGTTTTTATAAAAATAGCCCACTGTCCAATATTATAATATATTTCTACGCACAACTATTTCTTAGCCTATTTTTGTCATTAAAATTAATGTAATTTTATAATTGTTTCTTAAGTTTAAACGAATTTACAAAAAAATCTCACTTTTTGTCTTTGAAATAATGCAAAGTATTATGTTTATTGTCTATAATTCAATCGCCATGAAGATAACAATGCACTCCGAGAAGGACTTCCTCATAAGATAGTTTAACGCTACACGCTTTTATCACCCGACATCTTGGAGTATTTATTATATTACAATAATTATAATAACATTCTAACCGATTAATGTGTGTGTGCGTGCATGTGTGAGTGTGTGTGTGTGTGTGAGTGTGTGTTTGTGTGTGATTGCATGTGTATGATTGTATGTGTATGTGTGTGTGTGTTCATTAATGAGCAATTTTATTTTTTTCAAATTCAGCATTGTATGGAAGCTGCGGCCATAGTGACACCATTATACAGTTGTTGTACCTGGTGTGTGTATAGAAAATTAATAAAATTTTGCCGAAAATCGCAAGATAAGGTTTCACAGGTATCATAATATTATAGTTAAGTGTTTCGATAAAAAAATAAATAAAACTCTTTGCGATCATAAGTAATATTATCTATACATAGTGACTAATCTATTTTCTATGGCATTACGTATCAGATGTCGAACGCCTTGTATAGTACTATGTAAGTTCCGGAAAAACAGTAAAAAATAAGTGGGTGGAACTCATGATAGTAAATGTATAAGGGATGAAATTAAAAACCTTCTGGAAATTCACGGGTTAACCTACCTACCTAGATAAATAGTTAGCATGAAAATTTTGTTTTGAAGAAGCCGGAGAGTGTTTGCGTATCATAACTGTAATACTACAATATCGTTAATAATTTGAGTGAAAGTTCCAAACAATGTAAAACTACATACGAAAAATCAGAAGTATACTGTTGGACGGATGACTATGATTGTACGTGCTACATTTTTTAAACGTATACAGTGTTGTACGCTTCCTATAAAAATTTAAAAGACATATTATTTTAACCGAAATGTAATTACACAAACAAATATTATGATGTATTGATGTGATGACTGTTCTATATAATATGATAGTTGTGAACATATCGTATCAACGAACATTTCAGATTATACGGATCTATTAAAATATAGTAGCTCAATCTACGAAATTTAAATAATATTATAAGTTCGGATAGTGTTGTGAGAAAATTGGTCGTCTGAACAATTTCCGGAATATTGTTTCTTTGCATGACATCCAGCCATCGCATCGTCTGAATATTACCTATAGTGTACAATATGAAACTAACGTATAATCTCACCCAGAAAACCTATAGTTGCTAAAGCGTTTCAATTGAACCAATATTATGTAGACGAATAAAAAATGACATACATCGCGAGTTTCTTGGCGGCGTTTTCCATAATATTATTATACCTATCAAACGATAATAACATTACTGCGGCCATCATACACGTCATTCCGAGATATTTAATTATAATAATATTCTTGTATTGTTAATTTTTTTTACACGTTCTTCTTCACGAAAAATCACGAAAAATCGTCGTGGAACATAATATTATGTTGACAATTGCACTTTATAGGTTTATTAAGCAACGTCAATTATAACGGTAGTATAAAATAGAATATTTCCGTTTGCTCGACGAAAGTGCAATACCTACTATACCGGTACCTATATTATGCATATTTTATATATTATAACGATTTTCGTTGTTTTTTTTATTTCCCAGTTGGGGAAACGCAAAGACGAAAACCACTGCAAATCACAGTGCAGTCAATTACAACTTTAAACAGGTAGTAGGTGATGAGGGACATGGGGTTGGGGGATTGGATAGCGGTGAACGGATGAAAGTCGATCGCGTGTTGCTAGTGGAAAATCGCTCTCAATACTCGTCGTCCGTCGACGAAAACAGCTGGTCGGTGCGTATGTTGTTCTTGATCCAATCCGTGTACATGGGCACGTTGACATACACACCTGGCAGGCTTGGGGTTGCACACTCCACGCCCCAGCTGACGATGCCACCCACGAACCACCGGTCTCTGTATCCTTCCATCGGGCACAGCAGCGGACCACCCGAGTCGCCCTGTGGAGATAACGTCACTTGTACACATTTGTTATAATATAAATCCGTGCCATTCGACAGGTGTGTAAGATCGCGGATATCTATCTGTATCCGGCGGCGTATCCACAGGAAGGACCGTGTGGTGGGAAAATCTTACCGAGAGTGTGCGGAACGATATTGCTGATTGACAGGTGCCGATTTCAAATACCTAACTTATTAGTTATTGCAACCCGTACTATCTATGTATGTGTTACCTATACTCTAGATCCATATGCACGAGAGAATTTATATAAGCAGAGGTCCCTTACGAGGTGGTTAGTTAGTTTCACTTGGAGTATCTACAGGGGCCAGTTGAAATGAATTTGTAATTTTTGAAATTTGAAATGTCGATAGGCAAACTTATGTTGTGTTAAATAATATTTTATGATACAAACGTACACTATAGTATATTAAGTAAAAATCGTGTACCTACTGTACCTATTGGACACTATGAGTTGCATTTCATTGGAAGTTGTGTACACGGCCCTCAAACACACTTAGTACAGGAGCAAAAAATTTGATGTGTTTGGCATGAGCACCTATATAGTTCAGTCTACTGCTGCGAGTACGGACCAATGGATAGGTACGTCGAGTACAAACATATTTTAAGATCAGTCATCAATCGAATATTATTGTGACTTTTTGTAAATTGTTTAAATTAACTTTACACAGTATTGTGTGATTATATTCAGTTTGATTAGGTATTAATAATTGAAACATTTCAATTTATTTTCATAATTATTATTATTGTACATGCTACAACAGCCGGAATTATAGTCCATAACTAACCGGTCTAACCGAAGACTTCCATCGTAGTTCATGTAATACAGTATTTATACTATACCTATATATATATTAAATATATTATTATAACTGTTAGTTACTAAATTCCCTCATTATTCGGCTCACATAAAATAATCAACATGTATAATATATTCACTAAAATATTTTGACAAATGTCTTTTAAGTTTGTACATATAAGTACACTTATAAAATCTAAGTGACTATCTACTATTTTTAAAATGTATTAGTTATGGTAAAAACATATTGAAACTATTATGGGGAACCTTATATTCAATTAATAATCTTTTTTACTCATAAGCGAACGTTTTATCATACATTCATACCTAAATAAAAAATCATACAATATTAACATACGATCATTCAATACTATTCAAATGCTATCTAATAAGTCGGCTTATATGGTGAGAAATCAAACAGGGAGAAGGGGGATGGTATATGTTACAAGAAACTTCCATACCGATGTTGAAAAAATATCATTTTGATCTATCTTTTCTACGATTATTTTATCGGTTTGGTTAGTTTTTACCGGAGAGCTAGCTTCTGGTATCGCGACTAACTGCCATGGTCAACCGCCATAAAAATTATGTATTAATTTTTTTATTTGGCGAGATTCGTTCGTTTCAAATATATTACGTACATAATTTTTTATTGTGCACATTTAGCAATAACTGCTTATGGGTACCTACTGTAATTGTGTACCGGACTAAATGCTGGTAATCCTGCTGCACAAACCGGGCTAGCTAGTTTTTCGTCGTACAGGGTACAGACAATAAGAATAACGTCTCGCAAAAAGTCCCAATTATAAGTAAATAAGTTTTCGCATTTTCAGCGAATCCGGCCCAACGAAACTTTGGTCTCGGTTTATTGTCTGATTATAATCACCTGGCACGCGTCTTTGCCGCCCTGCTCGTACCCAGCGCATATCATGCCCTCCGTGATGTTAACGTCCTTCTGTTTTAGCCACGCGTTACACAGATCTCTGTCCAGTACGGGAACTTGGACTTCGTTTACTGTCGGTTCGTAATCGGCTCCTGTGAAAAACAAAATTCTAAATAACAACCATTGTTTCAATAAGACACGAATCGGGTGTTTGACGTTTAACGGGAAAACAGCGTTTATGCTATACACTGTGTACAGTTTACTGTATAGACTACGGTACTGTTATATTACAATGCTACAAAAAAATTAAACAAAACATAAATCGGAATCCTTTACAAAGTTTTAACTGTACACAGCGTACAATAACTGTTTTCATTGTAATAAATATACTATTCGTATATTATTCTGAACATAATAATATACTGCTTTTGGTTGCAGTGGTGGTTGCGGTGGTGTCTATTATGGACTCAATATTTGTACCTAAGTGTTAACAGTTATTAGTCCACACGTGCTGTAGGAATTTCATTCCCTAGAAAAATAAATCGATTTCAATCATTCCCTGGTACCACACTTCGAAATTAGACCTGGACGAAACATACACTCATTACATGTACATTTATTTTAATATTATTTTAATAGCTACAAACTAATATAGAAGCAGAATATACTGTAAAAAAAATTTTAAAAATCATAATTTTATTTATTGTTCATAACGAGAATGATTTTTTTAAGAACCTTATTTTCAAAGTGATTAATTTTGTACAAAAAAGTGCAATTAGTGTAGAATATTAGTCTACTTCAAACATTTATACACTTATATTTAAATCCTAATTCCTAAATAGAATTCTCGATTTATAATATATTTGACTGTATAAGAATTTATTTTAACAGAACACGATAAAATACTAAAGGAAAAATAATTCCAATAATTTAGGTCAACATTCAACAATTTACAGTAAAAACATTAAAACACTAAAGTCTGTAAATTGCATTTCTTATATTGTAAGGAACGATGGAATGAGAATTATATTATATTAGAGAACAATAATTTTGTGTCATATTAACTTTCTATTGGCTTATTAATTTATTTGACAAAATATCATAACAATTAATTGTTTCGTCCTATTTTCCTATTAATTAGTACTTTTTTATTTAATGTAAATTAATTATTTAATGTATAAATGATTAAATAATTATATATGAATGGTAGGTGTATTTCTTTACTCAAAAAAGCAGTCGATAAAAATTTAAAAAAAATATATGTTAGTTAGTTATTTCAGACTTGTCATCGGAAAGTTGTTTTAAAATATTTTAGTTTGATAGTTAAAACGAATTTTCCTCGATTTATCTGGCTAATACATATTATGATATCACCTACAACTATTAAAAAATAAATGATTTAAGAGCATTGGTCTTCGAAAATCGTAGTTTTCACATTTTATTGAGTACGAACTAGTTTTTTTAAAAGTACATTTAATAAATATCAAAATAAATAAGGATTTTTGTAGTTTCTCGAAGAGGTGCGAAATTGAAATATTATTATTTTCATTTTCATTAAAAAGTAAAAACTCATTGATAATTGTTTTTGTATTCTCTATTAAAACTTAAAGAATAGAATACTATTGGTTTTATGTATTTTTTTATTTGCAACAAAAAAGAATAAATAATAGGTATAATTGATCTCGAATATTAGAATATAATAAGTTTCGAATAAATAGTAATGTCCACATAGTCCTTTTAAATGTTTTTTATAAACAAAATTGTTAGTTAACAAGCAAGGTAAATAATAAAAATTTATAATTGTTTATAATGATAATTAATATTTGTATAACACACATAATCAAAGTAAATTAACGAATACGATTAAAAAGCAATTTAAAAAAACTTGAATTTAATAAATAGATATAATATATATTATAGGGATTTCAAAAATAGTTTATTATACTTGTTTTTAATATCAGATAAGCCCCAAAACCCTTTATAACTGTTTGAAATGAAAAATGCATATTTTCGCCAGTCACATGTCCTATGTAAATTGGAGTGCTATAAGTGTAGGTTTTTATGTGTGTGCAGCGCCAGATAGGCAAGGTATCGGCCCACCGAGTTTTACGATTTTAACCGGCCCTAAAAAAGTTAACGGCACATTTTTCAATAAGATAAAGTCATTAATAGGTATCAATATTTTAACAATAACATCATATATCATACAATATAAATTATACATATTATATTAAGCAGTAATGTTGACATAGATTAATAATAAATATAACAACTAAGCCGGCCCACCGCGAGTTCAACTCGGTAACTCGCCGGCTCTATCCGGGCCTGTGTGTGTGTGTGTGTTTTAGGGAATATGGAATTCTTGAACTCTATAGTTTAGAAAATATTATGGCAAAATATTAAAAGATAATTTTTGAGTATTTGCATTTTTTTATTATCTTTCCATCTCGATGATGAAAAAAAAAAACAGTAAAGTAACAAGGTATATGAAAACAATAATTTAAAATTTGGAGACTCCCTAGATTTTATTTCATTAAAAAAAAAAAATATGATAAACAGAATAACAATCAAACTTGTTTTTATTTAAAATTTTAAAGGTTCATAACAAACCACTTATATTTTGTAATTAACTGCTGTGCAATTTAGTTAAGGTAATTCATATTTAAGGTTTTATTCGTTTTGTGTAATACTGTTGAAGAGCCCATTGCTTTTTGACATTTCTAAATGTAAATTGTGTCTTATGAATTGTATTATTATACATTCGCAGGTAGCTGTATTATTTTGAAAATTGTTTGCCGGTTATATTCCCGGTTAGGTTTAAATCCATCTCGTTAAGCAAATGTCGAAGGAGAGAATTCGACTCCACTGCATTCTAGATTTGCCGCTCTACTTAATATTTATCCTGTCAAATGTTAATAACAAATATTCTTTATATTACTGTGTAAGATTCGATAGCCTTTTTTCAATTTTAAAATGCATGGGAAATTGGTTTATATAATGATATTATGTGCTCAGGCGAAGAGGACGGAAAAAATGCACGAATTTACAGATACCAATCGCGATAATAGCGGTAATTGATTTATCTAAATTCAATTTATTTAAGAATAATAACGAAAACAATTTATATTACACACAATGGTCGAATGCCAAAGTAGAATATTGTGAATTAGTGAATGTTAATAGGTACTGCAGTTTGAAATAGTTGTTAATCTATATGTATTGTTTGTCTTATTATAAATTATGTTGTTTTATTTTATATACCTCCTAGTAGACTCTTATAATACTCTATTTTAAGACTTAGTTGTTGCCGAAAATGTCACACTACTAGTAGTATGCTGCTCTTATTTAGTATTAAGTATTTAGATAATTTCTAAAGGTATCTGGTAACACTAACTGAATTCATAAATAATAAGTTCAATTTTGCGGTAATGTAAGAATGCGATGTTATGTTCTTAAGTATATTTTAAACCAGAACCAAGCTTGGAATCAATTTTTATTTTTTGACGATTTATACCATTGGTTTCGAGATAGTATCACAGTTCTGGGACGAGAAGAGTGAACTGTGAAACACGGAGAATAGGTTACACCAGCTATAATATAAATACTTTTTTTTTTATTATTTTAAATTATTTTTACGTAATTGTTGGGCTGTAGCCTGTTACATATTATTTATTTACATTTCGTACAGTCTATTGAAATGTATTCATATTTTATAATTGTGCTGCAAATTATTTTGTTTACTAACTTGTATATTATATTATTTTCATGTACTACATATTTTATATTACCGGTTATAAACATGACTTTATTTTTGTTTTTATTAAGAAACGGAAACTTCTATACTATTTTATACGTTACCATTTTATGGTTTCTGCTTAATTATATTTTATTCTAAACACCGTTACATCGTTGAGTAATAATAACTTTTAAATTCGAAACATATTTATTTGTAACAAAAAAAAAATAAATGTATTCTTCGGAATCGTAGCATGGTAAATAAAAAAATGCTATTCTTATACAGTTATACAAATAGGAAACTCTATATAAATATAATATCGAATTCGTTTGCGAAACGCATTGAAAGGTTGTTCATTTACGTCGGAAAACGAAAAGTTTAATCGAAAACAACAAACTCGAAAATGTACGTGCATAAATAATATTGTACGGCAATAATCTGATTTCTTCTGGAAAAACCGAAATTTGCAATCCGTAATTTATCCGAGAACACATGATTTTTAGTACTATGGAAACTTTGGAACGTGTGCACCGGTAGGTCAGGTGGCGATGGCGGCTGAGTGAGGTTTTACTATAACTGTATTCGCGCTCGGAGGGAAAAAAAACCAGAGTAAAAATTTATTGATCTGCCACCGAACAATAGCCGTTGGTCCCAAAACTTTCAAACATGCAGTCGAAAAGATAAAAGGCATAACCCGACGCGACATTTAAATTTGAGTGCAGGTGAAAGGGAATGAATAATCCGTCATTGACAACCTCATCGAGGAAGATTTTTTTTTTATACTTTTGAATCGTCGAATTGCGTTAAATCGTTGAATGGATTTTTTTTCATTCTAATCCATTCTTCTATATAACATTATCACTCAGGTAAAAAAAAATTCTATGATATGTGATAAATCACCAGCAACAAAGTACAAACACATACAATACCGCGATGGAATTGAATGAAAAGTCTGACCGCGCGTCGTTGTAATTATAATAATAATGATTTAAATTTTATTATGATAATAATATTATATGCCCTACACAATACCTATACGACTAATCGAATATTATATTCATTTTAATTTCACGATTTGAATTTCAAATGGAATCGTGATTTTCTGTTTTATATGTGCGTCTGAACTCTTAGCCAACCGTGTATTGTAATACTCATTGTTCAATTTTTAGATGCCAAATACACGAGCAACCATCATGATCGATATGCAATTTTAATTGAAAACGATATTAGACAAAAAGCCAAACATTCAACCAGTCCATTCTTAATAATTCTAAAAGTGATACCTAAAACAATATAAATTTCATCTTAATGATAATGAAATATAAGTAGTACATTTTTTTCAGTGCATTTTAGTATTACATTTAAAAGTTTAATAAATTTGTATAAACTCCCTGTGTAAGCATTCCATTAGACTGATAATACTCAATATTTAAGTATAACCTGCAGTTTATATTTGAAATACATTTGGAAATAATATTTGAAATATAAACTAATCGATTGTATACTCAATAATACTCGAAACTAAAAAAATACTTTTTCTGTTAGCTCTCTGGCACCACCATCTCACCGACTAAACGCTGATAGCACAAACATAACAAAGTTGACGTGATAATATTTCAACCTTTAAGGTTATTATAATCTGGAGGTTATGTGCGCTAGGTTTTTAACATAAAAAATACAATTTTTTTCACAAACCAAAATGTGCCTGCCAATGTCATTATACGAACTTTGATTACCTGTCGAAAGAATTATAATATATACCTATAAATATTAATATTTTTGTTATAGCTTTAATTGTAGACTGTAAATAGTCGTACGAGTAAATATTATTATAACGTTCGTAATACTCATTGTCACCAAAACAATGTAACTATGTGTCCGTGTGATGTAATCATTGGACTACTCACTATATATTATGGAGCACGGTTATCTGCAGTAGACGAGAGAGCGAATTCGTGACGGTGACCTTATAGTTTATACTATTATAATAATACTGTTTCGTACAATAAACCCTTTGATTTTACCTTCAAGACCATTGCGTCTACCCCATCCGATGACTGTGCAACTGATATTTGCTTTCAGAACCATGTTCGGCGGCGGTAAACACACCGGAAGTAAAAACTCGTGGAACGTTAATTTTTCACTGAGCTGAAAAGAAAAACGCCAGTTTGAAAGTTATATTATTGCATAACATATTTTATTGTCAAGCGACATAGGTACCTTTAAACACGCCGGTCATCTATACCGACCATATTTTATTTAGTATATTTACCTACACAGTTTTAATATAGATGTCTGCCACGTATAATATATTATATAATATAATGTACCTACTACTATACATATATATTGTTATATACACCATGTTTGTCTTCGTAAAAATTCACTCATACCTTGACTTGATATTATATTCCTATAAACACTCCATATAAGCGGAAATACATTACAATTTTCAGGGGGGGGGGGGTATTTTTAACGTCAATGATGGCCAGCCCGACAAAAACAACTAAAAAGCCCCCTGTTCTTGGGAATTGGATATTTAGGTAGAAGTGTTGGAGCCAAAATACGATATAAACGAATCTCTAATATTATATAGAAACTATTTCGGAAAATCGTATTTCAAAAACATTAAATAGAACTGTTATTGATGGTGACAAACACGATGAAACATAATACCGTGTGCACCGTGCAGTATAATATAATGTATAGAAAGAAAATCTGTTGAAATACGCATTTCAAAATTACCTTTTTTACGGTCTTTCGCCAAACTGCACGATAATATCGTATCAAATATTACTATGTTATTGCCTGTGACCGATATTATTGTCGATGCAGTGTAGTTGGTGAAAACCATAACAATATTATTACATTACCATTTACCGTTTACCATATAATATATTACTTATCATATTCAACGTACCTTGAAAAGTGCGATATCGTGATCGTGCTGAACGGGCCCGTTGTTTTACATCTCGTGTCTGATGATTTTTTCCACTTTCACTTTTCGTCCGAAAAACGAATGGGAATGTCTCCTCGTCATGCCCAGCTGTATGGTCCACTCCGAAAGGTCCCCCAAGATTTTCCTCCTGAAAACGCACGCGAACCGATCACCATACACCGTGATTTTATTATTTCTTAATTTCCATCGTGGGAAAAACGTCATGGCGTTTAATGTTTTTACCCTCCAGTGCAATGAGCCGCAGTCAAAACCCACTGTTCGGATATCAACACTCCGGCGCAGTAAAATATCTCATCGGGACCGCCAAGGATTGCGGCCAAAAATGGCCAGTCACCGGGTAGTGATGGTCTGCCGCCCACAATTCTCGTCTTGCGGTACATGGTTTGAGGTCTCCGCCTGACACCGCACTCTGTGATAATATATAATCTCAAAAATTGAAGAGACGTTGTTGTTTTGATATGGAATAAAAGAGTTTATCGAGAGGTCAGTAGGTACTCCATTTGAGAGTTCACGGGGGGTAGAGGGTATTTAATTGTCAATGTTACTATAATACCGTGGTTAATCTTGTATTATATATCGTATTATAGGTCTGGGAGAAAAAAGTTCATGTCTTATGAAAATGTAAAAAAAAACTAAAACACTTTACCTTTTTCCAAAACTACCATCTCTCTACCACTGTCTTGGAATTGTATATTATGCTGTTACTCTTTAAATGCAATTTAAATTCTATAAATGTCAATTACAACATGAATAGATTTTTATTATAACAGCATAGGTACTTAGTTATTCACAAAAATATTTACCCTTAAATAATGTAGACATTTATTCAAATTCTGATTTTGGATTTCTAACTTTAAGTACTTATAGACAATATTTTTAAATGGTTAAATTTTTTTATACCATCTAAGGAATATTTTGTAATGATACGTATAAACTTATCTTCTTTTTTTTATAAAAAATCATTTTTTGTAAACTATTTTTTATCAGATTATTTTTTTCGCAAATGTCGACTGATCTAAGATTTAAATATAATTTTAAAAGAACAATGTCTGAGTTGTTAAGATTTATTTACATAAGATAGTGGCTCTCAAATCTTAACAATAGTTTAAATAAAATATAAAATAGATATGACATTTAAACTGGTACTTCTTGTATACATGGTCATTTTTCCTAAATTATAAAATTGTAAATAATACATTTTCATTTCCAAAATTTTAAAATCATAATAGACTTAGTATTTACTCAAATTTAGTGTTTGTTAGGGTTTTGATTTATATACATTAACGTCTTCAAACAATCATCTACTTAATAAATAATAATATACGTAAAAAACCGAAGTATATTTGGAAAAAATAAGATTTTATCACCACAGGGCATTTTTTAAAATTAATTTAAAAAATTAAGTACCTATTAAAAAATATGCTACTTACTCAAGTGTACATAAAAATTCCAAAAATCAAAATTTGAATAAATCTATCAATAAAGGAAAAAAGGGAAAAAAGGGGTGAACCAGCTTGGAAATCACACGGCAGTACATATAACCTAGGGGTGTCTATATTATCAATTTATTATATCAGTATTCTTTTGACCATGATATAATAATATTTTAAAGGGTGTTTTACCATATAATTTTAAAAAATCAAACTGAATGAAAAAAACTTACCAAAATTAGTGCACAAGAGACTTATAGACGGATACAAGTACGAATCTGGACAGTAACGGATTTCTCTATAAACGGTCATTTTGTTTTCGTCGTAGTATTCTTTTGATTGGTTGTACTTAACGGAGGCCAAAAGTTTGTTGTTCTCACCGAGCATGCTTTCAGAGGATAGTCTGCAATTTATAATATAATTTAAGATGAAAATACCGAGTTGTCAGTTGATGACCATTTTCAGGCAAATCGGGAACACCGTTATGACGAAAGCTATTTATGCGGTAAACCGAGGTCTGTACATAAAATACATATAAATACTTAATATGATAATAATATTATACAACTATATTTTATTATAATTGATGGGAAACTTTTGCTTTGCATGTGAACTCTATATAAGTTCGTTGAATAATAAAATTGCAAGTAATACAATGATTTATGAATAATAACATTATAACATTTAAATGGCATCGAGTACTACAACAACAATCTACAGTTATTAGTACCTATGGTCAATAATCATCGCAAGACAAAATAGAGACGAATTTACTTTGATTGGAAGTTAAGTTATCCGAAATCGTATATTTACGTAAACGAAAAGTACGTACGTCCTAATATTATTGTAAGTATAGTATAACCCTACAATTCGTCACATTTGGTACTGGGGTTATGGTCGGAAAGTAGAAAAGGTCGGATTATCAGAAATACAAAAAAATATTGGTTTAAAGTGAGTAAAATATTAAATTATATAATTTACTGTAGTTACATAGGTAGTGTTATAATAATATTGGTACTAAAAAAATGAATGCAAGCCTATAAAATGTAATAAATAATGACTTAGGAAAGAAGTAAATTATTGAGTTTTGTTTAGCAAATGATTCTAGACTTAGTGTTTCTCTATATTTTTTTTTATCCAAAAAAATGTCCATGGGTGTCGAAATTGAGTTTTTTCGATATACTAAAGGGTACATATGGGCAATATCAAAAGCGTTCTTGGCTTGAGTTGATGTGTGAATTCCTGGTATAACTGTATAAGCCTTCTATAAATTGGCGAATTCAAATGTATTTTTAAAAAAAATATTGCACTAAACATCGATAATATTACGGTCTGATCAACCGGGGTAGCGGACCACCCGTGAGCGGTTTTACTGTGCCTAATATTACTGTAAAGGAACATAAGAAATATATATATCTCATACACTACAGTATATACATAAATTAGTTGGGCATGTCGAAGTTGTATGCGATTTACGTAAATACAATGGGGAGGAAGGGGTGGGTGAATCATATGGATATTACTTGTATCCAAGTATGTTGCAAATTATGGTGGCCGACAGTTCTGAATCCCAGCTCTGAATGCATGCGGGTCGCCACGACGTCGTGTTCGGCGAATAAAGCTCCAGCATCCCTTCACCTCGCACTCCCATCTCGCCACTAAGTCGCACTGTATATACAAAAACATGGGACACATATATATATAATATATACAAAAAAAAAAAAACGTTTTTTTTCGTTTTCGTGACATTTCAAAATATAATACACGTGATAGGTTATTATGTGTTTTCTTTCCTCCCGAAACAGGAAATATTATTGTTTAAAATGATAATAATTTACCACAATTCCGTTCATCTTGTCCCCATTCGCAGTCGGATACGCCATTACAAATGTGCTCTACAGCTATACATTTTCCAGCGCCGCAAAACAATTGATCTGCGAAAAAAACCATGAATGAAAAAATGTGTTAGGTATCTAATGGTTAACGGCCGTTTTTTCTTTCCAAGTTTCACCTGTTGAATATGACAAATCAAAGGCGTTGAAGGCAACAAAATCGATTACGCTACCAAATGTCAACATTTAAAAGTAGAGGTTTGTTTAAATACAATTTGTGTATGTACAATTGTACACATATAAAAACGTAAGATCAAGTTTGAAATGTCAAGTATGGTTTCGCCGATCAAATATATTGGAATTTAAATTCTGTTTTTGTTGATTTACGCTTTCATATTATAATCATCACTGTTGCGTAAAAATAGAACGTTTTAATTATCAAATATATATCACGTACATATTACATTATAATACTATATTAGTTTGAAATCTTATTTTCTAATTATTTTCAGTGAGTCTCGTTCGAAGACGGTGTACCATCTTCGAAAACAATATTATTATACGTGTAATTTCGTATTCGAGGTTAACGATTCGTAATAAATCTATTGAAAATTAAAAACGTTTTATTAATATGTTTCGCTTATACTTATTGGCATCAAAATTAAGAATATTTAGGTGTTGATAAACATTGTTTTCATTTTTATATTTAAATTCAACCACTGGACTTTAATGGTAAGCTCTTTGTAAATGCTAATTTTATTCATACATAATAATGACCGGCTTACAATTAAATTCAGTAGCACACTTGCCTATATACACAAGCGAGTATATATATATGAAATAATATAGTCGGTGCATAAAGTACCTAATCAAAGAAGCGATTCGGGACTTCCTAATACAAGTATAGAAAGGTATAATTTGAACAATACTCACATTGATGATGTCAACCTTTTACCCAGAAGAGTTTTATAGTAGTACGTGTACGACATATTATATTGTTATGATATGTTCCAAATAAAATGGTTTTGAGTAATATTTGTTGATCACACACAACTATTATTATGGGTGCTCCCATAAATAATCACAAGTTATTAAATAACATAATACCCACATACATCAAGGACAAAATAATACATTGCACCTACTATATTATAGTGCTGTTATTTTTAATTCAGGCGTCCAAGTCAAGCGACGGAAAACCTAGTTAGATACCTTTGTATTATAATAAATTGACCCAAGATACACAGTCATGCATTAAAAAGTATTCGCACCGAATTCATCAGGTGGTAGTTTTGATGAATGCGTAATTTAATACACACATATAAAAGTATATATATCATATTATTATGATATATAGCGGACAAACGAATGAAATATATTATAAAAGATGCTGGTGGAGGCAGATGGTTGCTAAATTCCACAATTCACAAGTTTTTCTCCGTGAAATAGGATCTTACTACCCCTATAGTGAGTCGTGTGTGTGTACCTATACATTTTTCCAGGATGTTAAACACGATACGTTCATGATGTCCCTTTTTATCTCGACTCAGTCGCTATCAAAATAAATTTACACATATGACTATTATAAAAGGCTATTTAAATATTTAATATATGTATTTCAATGTGTGTGTGTGTGTGTGTGTGTATGTGTGTGTGTGTGTGTGTGTTAGTAAAGCATCTTAATAATAATTTATAATAACACCATAATATTTTAATACTTTGACTGCAAAAATCATACAAGTCTTGTTTAATATTATGTTTGTTTATATTTTGCCTTGGAAGACTAATCAATAGGCGCCAAAAAGATAAAATGAAAAAATGAATCCTATTTTACAAAATTCCAGGTACCAGTGTGCTTCGTTTCAGATATTAAATTTAGAACTATAACTTTAAAAAATAACATACATTTAATTTCAATACAGACCACATAATATGCACCTATTATCTGATTACGATAGACTGCAGCGGTTATCAAACTTTTTTTTTCGCGTAACACTTAAGTTTAAGTATATTATCAATCAGTCGAGTACCTCTGATGACTATAAATAGAAAAATATAAACTTTACATAGTTAAATACATTTATTTTAAATAAAAATGCAGTAAAATACTACAGTATAATTATTATTTATTAATTAATACAAATTTATTAGTGTTTAAAAATTAAGGAATGAATTAAATAAAAAATGTTCAATGAGAACCATGGATTTGTAGATTTGATATTAGCGATGAAATATCTGGTTCAGCGTGTTACTTAAGGCCTTCCGTGTACCAACATGTAGTATTTCACGTACCACAGTTTGAGATCCGCTGCGATAAAGCGTTGGGGTTTTTGTGTTATAAGTTGTATTGTAAGTGCCTACTACGGAGTAAGTACCTATTCGCGTAATCCACAGCTTAATGAAAATTAATTTAACGTTTTATGCATTTAATTTATAAATTATAATTAACAGATAATAATACCTTTTTACGGTTGTTTGGATTATTGACAATATTAAATATTTTGAAATGAAAATCATGTACTAATATTCTTACCTATCAGCTATTTTATGAGTTACAGCAGATTCAAATTGTCAAAATATTATTGTTTTGAGATTAGTTTCGTTGAAAAGGATTATTGAATAATCTGATTGACGATTGAAACACGAAATGCCAAATTTTTATATTCATTATTAACTTTAGCCTATATATACCTAGATAGACGTAAATCTACGTAAATGTGTGAAACAAACGTACATTCGTGGTATTCGTACTTATTAGTTCTAACTGTCTAATATCAATCAAGTCCAAATCGAAATAAAATGACGTACTAGTCCGCGTACTATATTATGAACACAGAGTAGTGTTAAGTCTTAGTGTTAAGTCCGCTGCGGTATTGTTCCATCCGATTCGTCACAATTGATTGCAAACGTTCGAAACATATACCTGAATTAATAGCCGTCAGTCGAACGGCAAATGCAAATTGATTTAATTCAGCTTTTGCGTTTCAGAGGGGAGTTGCGTACCTATATAATTAGATTGTGTTCCTCTCACTTACTAGACCACTACGAAATTAATACAACTTGAAACAGTATACCACCTATCCCAAACTTTTATTCATTTTAAATGTTTTCGTTTATGTACCTGTATTAGACCGTTTGTGTTTAAGATCATAATACTTTAATTGAACACAATACCGTAGCACGCAAATTTGTTTGGTATGTAATAAAATATGACTAGAAATATTTGAAAATTTACCCGAAAACCAAGAGGTCGAAACTTTGTAGCCTCAGACGAATTATTAAAGTTTAGCATATATTTTATAGTGAACTGACGGATAATAAACTTAACCAACCGCAGTGTTTATAAAATATTAATAATCTGGCTGTAAAAAAAAACTTCTGATAACGTTTAATAATTTTTCCCGCGGAGAAAATAACTTTTAGTTTTCCGATGGCGATATGATATTATTTTATTATTAGTTTTAACAAAACTTACAAATCGAAAAATTAACTTTTTGAAGTCTGATAAATAGCACATAGCTCTACATAATGTACCTAATTTAATCATTCTACAGTGGCTTTACACGACTAGGACTAAATATAATATTATAATATTACGTTAAAATTTAACGAATCTTCATATTCATAAATATTGTGAATAAAAATTGAATATTTAATAATGTAATCAATACATTGTACGTATAGTCTAAACTCTTCAAACAGTTCTGACATAGTGTCATATGAGCGGGGTACCACCAAATTTTATTGCGCTCATCGATATGTATATCTTTCGATAATAATATACACCAAAATGATATAATACCATTCTTGTATGTAATTCTTCAGGTTCCATCCAAAAATATAATTGTTAAAATTCCGGACATACGATGATTATTTTGAACGGTCGAGTATACCTACTTGTGTTATTATAATTACATTTATCACCGCAATAGTAGACCACGATTTTGTAACGACTCGTGCCAATGTAGTATAATAATTAGGTATGTAATAATATACCGTGTGTCCTAGAAAACTGTGTACACTCGACATCTCAGTTACTCTCATTACTCGGTACTCTGTACACATTCTAGAATTGTGTCTAATGGAGATTGATGATCCAATAGTCTTGTTTCATGTCCCGCAAACAGAATTCAAAAATACGTATATGGTATGTATACTGTGTAATATGGATAATTTAATTATACAGTGTACCCTGTTTTTGCGGACACACGATATATATAACGTAAATTTAATCCCTTAATATATTGTATACATTCCATTCCATTCCATCCTATCCCATCTCATCAGCGCTCTAACAATGTATTTACCGTAATTTATTTTATTTTCGTTATAAAGACCACTTCACGGAACGGTATATTATTTTTTATAAAAGTACAGTATTATTGTATACGTAGGAGCCACACATCTGTCGAACAGTTGTTATGCATATACAAGGTAAATACCTACCTAATAATAATACATTCAGGATATAATGTTATTATATGCTTGCAAGGGGATGTTTATTGTAAATAATGTTATTCAAATAGGGTAGTGTTTACGACGTTTTAAATATTTTTAGTATACATATATATTATAATGTTTTTTTACACTCTTCTACTACTCGATATAAAAATACGCACACTTCAGAGGTGTAGGTAAATAGCCAGTCTAAAACGCCGTGTATCGATTTCATATTATTTTATTTTTATATAATATAAACAATTGTGGTATCAAGAAATACAATATAGAGTAAATTATTTCGTATTGTCATACTGCACATCGATGAAAAGGAGAAAGTGAGGTTCATACTTGAGAATTTCTAAAACATTTGTATAATGTTATCCACAATTGTATGCTATCGTACCTCCACCATCGTATGTTAATCGCATCCCAATGAGGTACAACTGTTATAACTTATAATGTACAGCTGCTGTATTCACTAGTAATATATGTATACAAAAAAGTAGTGTCTGTAAATTACCCTGTTGTCAGTTTGTAATATTCTTTTAATACCTATAAGACAATTATGTTGATAAGGGATAAAATAAAAAAGAGTGATAACTCAAATTATAAATAAATAATATATTGATTAGAGAAGTATTCGTAAAACCTCCACGGACAAC